TATTTTTGTCTTTTTCCGTGTGCGGCAACGGATCGCAACCCTCAGTGTTGCCCCCGCACCGGACCGGGGACGGCAACGGGATTGCAACCCTTGGTGTTGCTCCCGCGCCTCGCTCAGCCAGTGAGTGGGAACCGGTCTGTATGTGGGATCCGAACCCTCGGGCGGGAGCGCCGGCGCGCTTCCCAAGCAGCGCACTATCCAGTGCGCCACCAGGCCGGCCCAACATGGATTTTTTTGAGAGGCCTCAAGGGAACAAAGATACTAAGAAATGGAAATAGGGTTGAGAGGTGAGCCTCAGGACAGGAAGTAACCTACAGGATATAGTTTAAGGGAAACCAATGAGTTTTCCTTGTCCCCAAATATCTCTCTGCCCAACTTAACAAGGTGCTAGGAATCATTACCATTATGGTTTTGTGGTCGAAGGCCTTTTTTTTTAAAGATGACCGGTAAGGGGATATTAACCCTCGACTTGGTGTTGTCAGCACCACACTCAGCCAATGAGCTAACCGGCCATCCCTATATGGGATCCGAACCCATGGCCTTGGTGTTACCAGCACCGCACTCTCCGGAGTGGGCCACGGGCCGGCCCCTAAAGGCCTTATTTTCAGCAGACCTTTAAAATATATGCATCACCTGGGAAGGGTTGTAAAAACAAGGAGTTCATCAACACAGGAAGCTAACTAATCAGATTAGTCATCACCTGGGGTGACATGACAGGAGGACACCAGGATTTGAAAGGAGACAATGGCAGGTCCACAGCTTGGGGTGTGTTTCTGAAACAAGGAAAAGGGAGAGTGACAATAGGCACCTGGCAGTAGATTGAGGACAATGATGGGTGGAATGACACTAAAGGTAAACTTAGCCTGCTTCCAAATCAAGCTCTACCTGGAACCCTATTATGCTTTCTTTTTTGGCTGCTAGCAGGTACTGGGATCCAAAACCTTAACCTTGGTGTTAACAACACCTCACTCTAACCATCTGAGCTGAGCGGCCAGCCCACCTATTATGCTTTCAACTGCTTGACCACTGAACACTATGATCACAAGGGTGAGGGACATAAGGGGCAACTTTGATGTGTAAGGAAGTCTGGACTACTTACTACAGGTATACTACTGCTATACCTCCAGCTTTCAGGAGCACAGAGCTAAACTGGGCACAAGAGATGCAAAAGTACCACGGTTTAGAAGAGCTTCGCAAAGAGGAGCAGGTAGACTCCTCGCCAGTTCCTGACACCTATGGCTCAGTGCTGGCAGCTTAACAAGCCTCACCCCCCATCTCTTGACTGTTAGGAGAGGTCTCCTTTATGCAGGTTCAGTAGCACACCCATTCATGTAGTGTAGCTCTCTTCCCTTTGGTCTTGAAGAGAACCTTATGCATAAGCCTAGAATTCTCCTGAAGGCCACCAGAGGGCGGTGTAATAGCAGGGACCACATGCACTGTGAGCACACTGCTGCCACAAGCAAGGGTGGGCGCCTGGCGGTATGGAAGACCCCTGACTATCCTCTAGGCCCTAGACACTCCCCTTCAAGAGGAATCCAACTTCCTCTGAGCTTTCATACCTAATTCAGGGGCACAGGCGTGCTTGGATTCCAGGTATGTTCTGCTTTGGAACCCAAAGTTTTCAAAAACACCCAGGCCAGGACAGAGGAGAGGAGGGACAGTGGAGGAAGCCTGGAGAAACAACCACCAGGGCCAGTGATCAGGAAAGGAGCTCAGGTTGTAATACTTACATGTCCTTACCGGGGGAGGCTATTTCCTCCACATACACCCAGGCTGAACCCGTTTTCTGTGAGCAGCCCTTTAGTAAGGAAAGGTTCCAGCCCTCCCTCTGGATTTTCTTTAGACCATGAGTGTGTTTGGACTGTAAGTTACTAGCCAGGGATTCCCACGGGTCATCAGTTGGCCCAGTGACATTCCAGAAAAAGCCATCATCCCTATCCAGACCCTGCCACTAGTGTAAGATGGAGGCCAGTCTGATTCATGGCTTTGAGAGAGGGTCCACGACTGCTGGATAACAATAGGGGACTGAGATGCTTCGAGTATCAGTACACACAGGGCCTGAGTCCCCGCTGGAGCTCCTACAAACGAAGGGATTGCACGGGCCATCCCACTCCCTGGACAATCCCTGTCCTTCCAACAGTGGGTATGCAACCGTGAGAGCAGAATGCTCGTCCTCTCTGGGTGGGGAGTGAGAACAGCAGCCTAGAAAAGGGCAAGACTCTTCTGGTCACTGTTGCTGATGAACTGGGACGACCCCTCTGGAAGGAGGGAAAAGGTCCTGAGACCCTGCTGAGGAGGGAGGCGGAAGCCAGAAATAAGGTGTGGACTCGGATTGGTCCCCTTTCTCCCCCTCTCTGGTAGTGAATCGCCATCTGAACGGAGGTGTTTTCCAATAAGGTCCTGGAAACCTTCCCTTTATTAGCCCACCTGTAGGAAAATGTCAGACGTCAGACTGGCTGCCTGTGTCAGACAGTGTTAACGCCGTCCCCTAGCCTCTCACCTTGGCAGGCTGGGCAAGCAGATAATTATATTACAATTTATAAATAGAAAATAAAATAAAATTAGCGGATGGGGCTGAGGCGTTGGGGAAGAAGAAACTATAGCACTCTTCAAAGAGTGCTCACCATCAACCCCACCTACGTAGGACACGAAATCACCTCCTCACAGCTGAAGTTGCTCCTAAACCAGGCATTTCCTCTATAGTCCCATTTGCTCTCTATCCCTCCCCTCCCTCCCTCCCAGTCAGCGTCTTCTGCTGCCCACATCCCCAGATCTCAGCCAGAACGCCCCCTTGCGACGAGCGCCTTGAGGCTTCTATGCCCAGAGCGCTCAGCCCAGCAGCTCCTCCGCCAAGCGATACAGGAGCCGAGAGTACCAGTGCATGCCAGTGGGCTGGACCGCCCCGCCCGGGAGCAGTGCCCCCAGAGCGTGCAGCAGGCGCAAAGGAGCAAAGGCGCGGTGCGCCCACTGGTGACTCTCCAGAACAGCGTAGCACGAGGCCAGGACGTCGTTGACTAGCAGCGTCCCGTGCGCTGTGAGAGGCGCGAACACGCCCACGGCTTCCTCCCGCGCCACGCGGGCCACGCGAGCCGGCCGAAGCGCGTCACCGCCGGGCGCCAGCACCGAATCCCCAGCGCGTAGCCGGCGCGCAAACACCGGCGCAAAGTCGCCTGGCGCGGGGGCTGGCCCTCGAGCGGCGAACACCAGGTGCCAGGGGGTGAGCAACAGTTTGCGCGGGGGCCGCTCGGTCTCCACAGCCACGAACGAGGCCCGGCGCTGCAAGTCCCGGTCCAGGAAGAGCAACACAGGCGTGGGCACCACCCGGCCTGCCGCATCTGCCGCCAGCACCCAGTCCCCGCGGTGCAGTTCCCGAAGCCCCTTCCGCTCGCCGCTCCGCAGGCGCACTGTGGCATTTCCCGGAAAGCAGCCGCCCGCCCGGACCGCCAGCGAATTATCTGCAGGGAACAACCATAGGGAGGATTGAATCAAGACCAGCAGTTCCAGAATGTTGGTATAGATTCTCAAAGATGTGGGTCAAGCCCAGCGCAGACCTCACCAATCCCGGACAACGCAATTTCCCATGGATCTGGCCCCAACCTGGGCAGAAATGGAAGTGTGGTTTACAACACTAACGCCCACTTGGTTTCCCCTAGGGTGGCAACAAGGCTATTGCAGACACAGTTTTCCAGAGGAAGCCCCCTTTTGGCAGACCTTACCACCCGCCGCCTACTGTACCAGCTTTGACCGACACGTGGACGTGGTTGCGGGACTCGTAGTAGACCCAGTCGAAGCCGGCTTCCACTGCCAGGCGCGCCAGCAACCCATACTTATTGCGGTCGCGGTCGGACGTAGTGATGTCCAAGGCACGGCCTTCGTAGTGGAGTGAGTCTTGAGCATGGTGGCCGTCCTCGTCCCAGCCCTCGGTCACTCGTAGGCGCACTCCAGGCCACATGTTCATGACTGCAATGGCCAGCGCGTTCACCCGCTCCTTACAACGCTGGCAGGGAATAAAGGAGTCAGTCTTCCCGCTACCACTACCACCACCATGGGAGCCAACGGGACCTGGATAGGAGGGTCGATTCTTTGTTCACCCGGCACTACTCCACTACCTCCCAGCCTCGAGTGTCCTGGAGAAGTGAGAATCTGAGTAGATGTAGTCACCAACGTGCACTCCCTTCCCGGGGCGTCATTGGAGAACTGTGGGGTCACAGTTCCTCCATTTTTAATGCCCACCCCTCACCCCACACATCCTGGGGCCTAGCCCAACCTGGGAGAGGCTCAGAGTCGAGAGGGCGGGTGGAAGCTTGGTCACGGAGGGCCTGGCCCCCGCCCCGGGCCCCAGCTGCCCTCCCTCCGCCTGATCCATCTTTTGTTTTGTTGCCTTCCCTGGCACTGGGCATCGCTTCCTTCCTTCCTTCCTCCTCCTCCTTTCGGCCCCTAGCATTAACCCCTTCGTGGTGTGGGTGCCCCCCACAGAGGTGCCCAAGAGGAGGAGCCGTGCGGGATCAAGGCTGCTGGAAAAAAGGTTGGGGTGGCGGGGGCTGCGCGAAGTACAATGGCCATTCTCCGTGATGACTTAACTGAGCGAGAATCCCGGGCCGGGGCCGGGGACGCGCAGAGAGAAGCGGACTCAGCAGCTCCAGCCACAAAGGCGCTTTTCAGCCGCCCTGGCTCAGGGAGAGGAAAGGGCAGAAAGCCGCGCCCCCCATCCCTGCTCCGACCCGCTGGGTCCCCTCCCCCAGCGCGGCCGGTCCTCCCAGTTCCCGCTAATGCTCTGCCACCCCCGAAAACCCTCATCTCCATCTCTGCTCTAGATGCAGCCCAGAAAGGCGTGGGAGTAGCACCTGAGAATAGCTGGAGCTGCCCTTGCGCTAATCTGGGGGTCCCCCTGCAGAGTGGGAGTGGAGAGGAAGAAAAGAAGGAGCTGCTGGAAGCCTGCACTCGGAGGAGTGAGACCTCGGTTATCTCGGCCGCTCCCGTCTGGGAGCTGGAGACCTTGGCGCGCACCATAGCACGGGCACCGCGGGAGGAGGCGCAGAGAGGACAGCTTCCTTTTCTTTCCCTTCCGAACTCTCACCTCGAACTTGGTTTTCTCCTAACTGCTAGAGGGACTCTTTCCCCCTGTCCTTTTTCTCTAGTTGTCTCCACCTCCGCAGGGTTTGGGGCAGTGGGGGAGAACAGGAAAAGTGGTAGCTCCTTCCAGCTTCTTGTCATTTTGTCCCCTAAGGAGGCCCTGGAGGCCCTGACCTGCGGGGGCAGCAGCCCAGTGCAGAGCCAACTCAATGGAGGCCTTTTGCAGCCAGAGTGTGGGAGATAAGCAGGACTGAGGGGGTTCCCAGGCCTGTCAGAGCCCCTCCTGAGCCTGTCTCTTGTTCTGCCTCCTCTGCTGCAGGTGGCAGCCAGAGGAAAGGGCCACGATGTTCCATAACGAAGGAGGGAAGAAGGAATGTCCCTTTCCCAATCTCTGGGTAGGAGGAAGGCTTCAGTGAAGGAGCAAGAAAGAATTCTTTCTCCCCTGGACAGGTTTTCCTAACAAAGTAACCTGGAAAACTATGGCAATTAATCAGAGGAAATCCGTGCCCCTCCCTCTCCCCCACCTCCCCACTCCATAGACAATTAGGTGGTGTAATGGAAAGTGTATAGGACTTAGAATCACGAGTCCTGACTTCTAGTCCCAGCCATGCCACTAATTAGTTGTGAGACTTTGACTAAATTGCTTTTCCTCCTGGGGCTCAGCTCTCAGATGTAAAACGGGGGTGGGGGGGGTGGAGGAACTCCAGGTTTCTTTCAGTTCTGACATTCAAGATCACTGGCCAGACGTGGTCCTTTTCTTCCAAGGCATTGCCCACCTCACCCTAGGTTGGTTCAGTTCCTATCTGCAGCAGATGCTCAATAATGGTAGTTGAATTTATTTTAGGTCTTTAATTCCAAGGAAAGCCCCTGAGCTAAGCTGAGCTTGGAGTACCTCAGGTGGGCCCCTTTGTTCTTCTCATTGAGGACTGCTTTTAACCTCCAAACTGTCATTTAGACCCCAGAATAGCCTTATCCTGGTTCTAGGACACCTCTCCCATGCTAAAGACAATTCCTATCCAACCCCTCCTCAGGTAGATGGCCTGGTGATCTGACCCTTGGCCATCCCTTTCCCAGCTCCCTTCAGTCTCTTCTCTTCGGCCCACAGAGCTTTTCCACAATCAGGTCAGGAGCCAGGCTAAGGGTAGAGCCTTCTGTCTGCTGCCTAGCCAGCTCCTGCCCCCCAGCTCACCCCAGCCCTTCCTGCCTGGCTGGGTGGCTGACCCCCGGTCCACGCCTCAGCCATTTCCCGTCTCGCCTGCCGCCATCCTCCTTTCCCCGCCCTCGCTGCCTCTCCCAGCTTCACTCTCACTAGTCAGTCCCTCCTCCCCCTCCCCATCTCTCCCAACTGGGATCCCTCCTAATCACTATGTCCAGCTGGCAGGGGGTTGTTTTTCAGAGGGGGTTTTTTGGGGGGGAGGTCTTTAAGACTAAGGTCTCTGTAGGTGAAGCCCGCACCCTCCTGAGCTGCCGTAGGAAAACAGAGGAAGCCATGCCACTAATTAGTTGTGAGACTTTGACTAAATTGCTTTTCCTCCTGGGGCTCAGCTCTCAGATGTAAAACGGGGGTGGGGGGGGTGGAGGAACTCCAGGTTTCTTTCAGTTCTGACATTCAAGATCACTGCCAGACGGGGTCCTTTTCTTCCAAGGCATTGCCCACCTCACCCTAGGTTGGTTCAGTTCCTATCTGCAGCAGATGCTCAATAATGGTAGTTGAATTTATTTTAGGTCTTTAATTCCAAGGAAAGCCCCTGAGCTAAGCTGAGCTTGGAGTACCTCAGGTGGGCCCCTTTGTTCTTCTCATTGAGGACTGCTTTTAACCTCCAAACTGTCATTTAGACCCCAGAATAGCCTTATCCTGGTTCTAGGACACCTCTCCCATGCTAAAGACAATTCCTATCCAACCCCTCCTCAGGTAGATGGCCTGGTGATCTGACCCTTGGCCATCCCTTTCCCAGCTCCCTTCAGTCTCTTCTCTTCGGCCCACAGAGCTTTTCCACAATCAGGTCAGGAGCCAGGCTAAGGGTAGAGCCTTCTGTCTGCTGCCTAGCCAGCTCCTGCCCCCCAGCTCACCCCAGCCCTTCCTGCCTGGCTGGGTGGCTGACCCCCGGTCCACGCCTCAGCCATTTCCCGTCTCGCCTGCCGCCATCCTCCTTTCCCCGCCCTCGCTGCCTCTCCCAGCTTCACTCTCACTAGTCAGTCCCTCCTCCCCCTCCCCATCCCAGCCTCTCCCAACTGGGATCCCTCCTAATCACTATGTCCAGCTGGCAGGGGGTTGTTTTTCAGAGGGGGGTTTTTGGGGGGGAGGTCTTTAAGACTAAGGTCTCTGTAGGTGAAGCCCGCACCCTCCTGAGCTGCCGTAGGAAAACAGAGGAATTGGTGGTGTCCCGGCGCAGGTGGGGAGAGTCCCTTCTTACCTCCGTCATCAGGCGGTCGGCGCCGCTGTTCTCCTCATCCTTGAAGATGATGTCGGGGTTGTAGTTGGGCACGAGGTCCCGGAAGCGCTCAGAGCCCCTTGCCACCCTCCCCTCGGCCGGCCCACTGGCGCCCAGGGTCCGCTCGGGCACGCTGGGCACAAATTGCTTGTAGAGCAGCGGCACGAGCTGCTTGCGCACGTAGCGGCGCCGGCCAACCGGCCCCCGGCCGGGCCCGCAGCTCTGGGCCGGCAGCGCCAGAAGTGCCAAGCAGCACAGGGGCACCAGACCGGCCAGCAGCGCCATGGATGCAGCGAACTGGGGCCAAAAGGGAGCGTTCTTGTCCTCACTAACTGGCCTGTCAGTTGGGCATCTCCACAGGCACCAGAGAGCGCAGCAGGCAGAGCTGCCCCAGAGTGCCTAGAGCTCTTGTAGCTCTGCGCACCTGGATGCCGCTAGCTCTGGCCACATGCCCCCGGGGGTCTGGAACCTACTACTAGTGGACCATCATAGCAGGGAAGGGGGGTCGTGGGTGAGTGCCAGCCCAGCCTGTCTCTGCTGCCCGGCTCTGGCGCTGCCAGAACGCCAGGACTCCGCCTTAAGTGGCCCCTGGCCCCGCCCCCCGCCCTTCTCCCAGGACCGTNGGGGCGTTACCCGCCAGTGGCTTCACGAGCAAACCAACCTCTAGGGGACTGATGAGTTCAAGTTTGAAAGCTTGTGTGACATCGTTTAGGAAGACACCGTCCCATCCTTTTTTCCATCCCATCAAATTTCTCCTGAAATATTTTCCCATCAATATCTGTATTACTTAGGGCTCTTATACTGCAAGTGGCACAAACCAAATGTGGCTAATGTAAGCAGAAAAGGATTTTTATTTTGTACCAAATCAAATGGAGGAAGCAAGACGCAGGTTCTGAGAAAGAGAGAAGCTGGACAGGTCTGGAGGGCGGGTGGGAAAGGTGAACCTCACCAGTGAGCCTCTGGACAGGGACAGGGGTCCCAGCCCTTTTCTGCTGCTACGTGTTCTTACCGTGCTCTGCAAGAAGCTCACGGTCATGGGAGAGAGAATTCGGTTGATGTAGCTTTGGAAGGTGTCTGTGCCTGCCCAGGAAGAGGCATCACCTTGGTCTTTGGGCCTCGGCCACATGTGACTTGGTGACTTACTGAGCCCATGGCACAGAAGAGGTTGGGTTTGGAAAAACCCAGAGTTGCAGTGTTCAGTTGCCATGTGTGTGGAGGCGGGGGATATAGGTGGAGAGGAAGGGATGGCAGCGAGTTATC